AAAAGCAAACATGTCTAAGAAGGATATATAACAACTTAAACTTTTGAATTAAAATTAAATAGTAAAATAACTACAAAATGGGCTTTTGGTCAATTTAAGAATTAATTCAGCATCTCTGATTTTCTCTATCTAGCAAAACGAACTTCAAACTTTGGAAATAAACAGTTTTTCTTTCATCTTTGAAACAATAAAGGGGAGGATGTTAGCACTCGCATACCTAGGTAAAAAAAAAAAAAAACTCTAGCTTACTGGATTAGGCTGAATTCCAACTCTCCACCTTTAATCCACACTCTCCAATAATTAACATCGAGAATGGTTGGTATTGGTCGCAAGGATGAGTACCATTGAATATTGAAAAAGACACCAATTGTCACAACAAGAAACGTCCAGCCTTGCTTCATGGCTACAGCCTGTTGCCACTCCAACCTCCATCGTATATATTAGATCGGATCGGTCGGGATTGCTGATATATCTGTATATTGACCTAAAACAAACAATCCATGCCAACGCAATAGTACATGCATGCATGAATATTCTCGGTACATTGGAAGCAAAACTGCAATAATATGAAACTTTGTTTGCCTTTCAACAAAATTCATGATTCACTTCCCTTTGTTGTTTAAATATCAAGACACTTGTAGCAGAAACCAGAAAGCAAGATAATGAGATCTCATGAAGCCCAACCAAAACGTGATATTATACGTAGGATTATCTCGGAGGTCCTTTTTTCTGGTAATGTGTTTTCTGTCCCGTGTGGGCACTATCACCATGTTTGCCCACCAAAATGCATGGTATGGGTCAAGGGTCTGCAAAAATGAGTGGCGATCCTCCATCGTTCAATGTGGACCAAAGTCTTGCACTTTCCAAGAACCTACTCGATCCATTATGAGATCTTTTTTTTTTTTTTTTTTTTCTTTGGCACAGCACTCAATCCTGTTAATCGGCTTTTACACACTTGATGTTAAATTATGGTATTAACAACACATACTAGTGGGCTAATAACTTAGTTTGAACTTTATTGAACCGTACTTCCTTTAGAAAATCTTAAATTTTAGATCCAATATAATTAACGTAAAAGTGGTATAGTTGCATAACACCTTCCCCAAGTGGTCGAATTGGTGAAACTTCAATGCTGGTTTAAACATATGATTCCACCTTTGCAGATTCTGTCTATCTTATTGCATGCCTTGTTACCAATCTTGCTTACTTGGAAACCCATTAATAATCAACTGCTTCTTCAGTAATCTGTAGTGCTCACACATCACTTACTTATGTTACAAGAGGTCGGTTTTGTTTTAGCTATCAAATCATATGATTTCTTTCGGATACTTGTGCTATCACCTCAAATTAGTGCTGAACTTAATGTCCAAAGTCTTCTTCTTCTTCTTTTTTTTTAAATAAACACGGACTAGGATTTTTTTTTTCATCTTTCGATAAAGAAATGCAGAAATATTTCTTGTCGGTGTCAAAAAGGACCAGGTTCATATTTTAATTTTCTTTGTCTATTAGGCCACCTGCAACTGCAACAATGTTCCAATAATACTCAACTAGGCTAGCTAGAAAGATTAAATTAAGGCACATTGTTTCTGGTGCAGGATGCTACTTAATGTCATAATAATGCATCCCTATTGGCCCCTCAAGGATTTTAGTAGCACATGCGCATGATATATGCCTTTAAGGGATCCATCCACCTATTTATAGGGCCTAAATGTTCTCAAAAACTTTGACAACTGAAGTTAATTTTAAACTGTTTACTTCTTTTTTCCAGTGTTCATTTCCAATTCTTTCATATCAGATCATTTCTAGTTCCATATGGCATCAATTGTACCAGAAAACATGTCCTGCACCAACAATGAAGAGCGCCTAATCCCTGAAATCCCACAAAGGGATGACACAATTCTTATGTCCTTTCTTGAGGATTCAGTGCAACTTGAATGTTGTGATGATGACAGATTAAACAGTGTGATCCAATCTCTAGAGGCAGCTATCAACCCCGGTTTGATGAATGATCATGGCTCAAACGTTGACGATGGTTACCAGCTGCAGGATTGCCTTTTTGATCAACTAATGTCAATTGATGAGGAATATACGTATGGTGATCAGGATAATTCAGCATCACAAGATCTTGATTTCAGTTGGATGGATCTGGAGATATCATCATCATCTTCTTCATCTTCTTCACCTGGTGATCACGGTCTCTCTTGCTGGTATGAACAAGTTGGAGAAGAAGATGTAGAGCATAACGCGGCTCAATACGGAGGAGTCATAGATTATTCAGAGATTCTTTTGGAGGAACCTACCTGTAGTTCTATCTGGCAAGAAACTTATCGTTTATAAAACTTTGTTTTATGCAATTATTGCGTTTTCTTTGATTATGAAAATGTAAATCCTGACAAACAACATGTTATGATCAGAAAGCTATTTGTTTTGGAATTAAGCAAGATAATGATCCATTTGAATATACTTCATTTGTGGTCCAGTTCACTCTATCCATCCATGAACACACTAATAATTGACTTGCTAGATAAAATTTAAAAACGATTTTAGTAATCTTGTCGTATAACAAATCAACTAATTAGATACTATATACCAAACAATAGAAAAGAAAGCCTTGCATTACAAAAAACAAAAACGCATTAGTGAAATGCTCAATACAATGAAAGTTTGAATCCCTTTTACAAATATTGGAATTTTTCCTGTCAAATATTATATGCTCATCTTCTGCTACAGCCATGCACGAACTCTACTAATTAATGATCTTCATGTGATTGAGAAGCCATGAGCATTTCTCTCTTCTTTTGCAAGCTATAATTGTAGGATTAAAAGTTTTGGAATTTTACTTAAATTCTTTCAGCTTTTTGTGAAAGTCAAAGAGCATTTCTCTCTGGACATCTCTCATCAAGAAGGAGTGAAGGACCCCTTCCTTCTCCTTAGCTGCCCTCGTAACCTTAAGTGTTGATCGCGTGGGGGGAAGGAAAAAAAAAACTTTTGGAAGAAAATCCTTTGGGTTTTCTTGCTAATGGACGACGGAAGGTTGTTTTCCAAGAAATGGCAAGCCCATTCGATTAGCTCGCAGGAACAGGTCGCTTCAATTCTCCAGTGGTAGAGTAAAGAAATGTGAAAATAATTTCTAACAAATTGATCACAGTACAAACACTTTGGTTCATATAAGATGGGGTTTTTACATATATAATCCTATTTTTATTCCAAATTACAAAGATAGTCCAACTTTTTAAATGCTCCTAAAAATAGAGATTTTGCTACTTATAGTAGCGACTTCCACCAAAATCATGTGGAAAATGTTCATAGAATCTTGAGTTATAGCAAATGAATTAATCGGGTTTAGTAAGCAGTAACATTTTCAGATGTAACTTTTGGAAGAAGGCAAAATTACTACGGCAAACTCCAGCAGCCCATTGGAATTGAAGCCAATGTACAATCCATTAAGCCCTGCATAGCATTTGGGCCTCACGTTGGGTTTCTCATATTACATATCTCTGGTCTCAGAAATGCCCAACCCATGAAGTCCTTTCCTGTTGTAAAACTTGCCAGATTGCACAGTGATAAAACTAGCTACACAATATCATATCTTTCTTTCAATAGGAAAATATAATCTTAACTCCACGTCTAAGGATGGAACACTTTTTCATAAAAGATTATGTATTTTAATCTCGCTATTAATGTCAATGCGATATGAGAATTATGTTGGTGAGCGATCTATAAAAATATAAATATACGACATTGGAGGTGCATAAAAACGGTGATCTGCCATTTAATACAACATTTGAGGTGCACTGCTAAAAGGACGACCTGTAAGAATACACGAACTTCACTAAAAGGGCGGTATGTAAATTTATGACATTTGAGGTGCACAGGGACGTTGCTAAAAGTGCATGCAGTTTTGGGGTTTTTTTTTTTCTTTTTTGGGAAGGGGGAAGACTACTTTGGGGTTTTAACCACTGGCAAATTTTACTTTATGAAATTTTTTGTTCATCTTTAAAATAATAGCAAAAAAAAAAAAACAACTCTTAATTGTTCAAACGCTAGAGTAACATTCATTCTCTTTTACAGATCTTCCAGCCTAGGAAGGACGAGGCATCAAGGTCAAAATAAAGCAACCAGCACTATTGTTTCTCCTGCTCATACGGGATGCATCTTTGGCATACTTAATTCGGAAGAAAACTGCTGGAAAGGGCAAATTTGTTTACTCTTCTCAGCGTCGTCTTACTCCTCCAGTTTTATCTTCAGATAGTAACACTTCATCATCTAACATGATAAATTGACCAACTTTTCAATCAAAGAAACTTTGATGACCACATGAATACGAGTTCAACAGCAATAAATTTTTCTTTGTTACAGAAAAGCAAAAGGTGATTTGGTAAGCCCTCCACTTCTGAAATTGATCCATTAGGTTGCTTTTCTATCTTTTCTTGACCCTTTTGATCTTTTACAATGTAGCTTGCATGCCACATTTACGTTAGCACCCTATGTTGAAGTTAGAGAACAAAACAGAAGAAAGTGGGCTCTTCTCTTTACAGCCAGCACAAAAGCTAGCTTTATGTTCTTTATTTGTAGCAGATCAATGCAATCAACTATTGTGAGTACTAATAATAGGGGGATTTTAACAAAACATACAGGTGCAATCAAGTCTGCAATCACTTCTCTGGAGGAAGACCAATGAAGTTGCATCGAACGAATTTCTTTAATGCTGTCTAGCTTGTGACTTTAATGATCAACTCTTTTCTGAAACTGTGGCTCTGTTTGGATTGTAAATTATTTGAGATATTTTTACTGTAGCACTTTTTGTGATGTGATGTCTGTGAGATAAAAAGGTAATTGAGAAGATAAAAAGGTGCGTTGAAAATTGTAATGATGATGTAAGCAAATAAATTTTGGCTAATAAATCTCTATACAAACAAACCCTGTGTATTTGCAAATTCTTGAACTCTCTATGAGGTTGTCATAACCCCATTTCATAATTCGTCAAATGTCATTCCTTAGCGAGGTGAACAATGGCTCTGTCTCGTCTCCTTTTACTACCAAACCTTTTCCCCTCACGTTAGGCCTCCACTTTCTTTTTCCAACTTTTAAAAAACCCCGCCTATCGCACACAGCTTCAAAAAGAGAAGCTCAACGCCAACTTCCCCTTTCATTCCAGACCCCATAAGACACATTCCCAAATTTTCATCAAAAGCAAAAGTGAAAAAGATCAGTCCACCCCACCAAGCTAAAAAAAAAAAGCATCCCAAAAAGCAAAATCAGATTGTCAACAACAATTTAATAGCAGCATGTATATACACCAAAGATCCCATTTTTATACTTCCATGCTCATGCATCTCAGTTCTTGCTCTGCTTGGCTTTCCCAAGAACAATGGCAGAGATTGTTCCTGCAGATCCGAGCACTAGTAATTCTGCAAGTACTAGCAGCAGAAGAGTATATACGACAACTAATACAAGACCCTTTACAAGATTAATCACTTCTGGGCGTGATCATGTGGTTGAGCCCTTTGACAGTGAGAAATTGCCGGTCACTTTGGTTTCAGAGATCCAAAAATTTCTTCGTGTTGCTAATCAGATAGAACTTGAAGAGCCTCGCGTGGCTTATCTTTGTAAGCACCTAAATGGTTTAGAAACAAAGATTGAAACTTGTGCTAGTCATTAAAAAATTCGGTGTTTTAGGTGTTGGATTCTTGATATTGTGTTAGTTAATTATAATGTGTTGCAACATGGAATTTCTTGTAATTGAATTGAAAATCCTCTATGGGTTGGTTGGTTTGTATTGTGATAATTGTACGCTAAATTAGTTTAGACAGTAAGAAAACCGAGTTTCTTGTCTTGATTTTGTTCACCCTTTTGGCTATTAATCTAAAGTTCCTATACTGATTCACTGGCATATCTGTTCTTATTTGTTAATGATAAGCGAACGAAAAAGGTGATATTTTATTCAGTCGAAAAAATGTTGCAGAAGACATCAGAGAAGTGTATCTGAAAAGAAAGAAAATGCACTTCAAGGAGTGATTTTGTTGCTCTTTTCCTTGCTTTTATAAGCACATTCAAGAAAAGAAGGTTTGGTTGTAATGGGATCGCATAAATGATTATAGCACTCAAGAGAGTTTGGTCTGTATCTTTTATGCTAACGATAAAGCACTTATGGATTGATTCTTTTGTGTAGGCCGTTTTCATGCATTTGAAGTGGCACATAACTTGGACAGAAATTCCAGTGGTCGAGGAGTACGGCAATTCAAGACTTCTCTGCTTCAGCGTCTTGAGCAGGTAAAAAATTGAATGAAAGCCACCATCAATGGAAATGTTCTTAAAATACCAAGCAATCTTCTCTTTCTTTTTTCAGCGGACAAAGTTCGTTCATCCTAAGAAATTTGATGATTATTGTTTTGTAAGACTACAATTTCAACCAGACTGCTCTACAACTAAGAGATGGGCTCAACATTTTTAATCCCAAACTCTGCAGTTATTAATCATTATGTCTCTGGCCTAAAAAAATAAAACCACTATGTCTCTGATATGATTCTTTTACATCCATGACAAATACATCAAAGCTGTTATTCTGGTGCCTTTTCTCTTTGATTGGGCTGCAGAAAATGATTCAGCATAGTGTAAGTAACCCTCAATAGTCTTGTTACAAAAGATATCTGTGAAGGAACTTTCCAGATCTTACTATGGGTCTGTATCTTCTGGTTATTGGCAAATTTGTAAATTCTTACAAGTAAAATACTATCAAGCTGAAAATGGCTGCCACCTAAACTGTCACCATCTGTCATTCATTAACTAATTTTCCTCTATTTTCTCGGAACTTTCTTATCCTTTAGTAATAAAATTCTGTGCCCTGACTATTTATGTAACCGACAGGATGAAGAAATTACAATCAGGAAGAGGAAGGAAAAGAGTGACATACGTGAACTTAGACGTGTTTACCGTGAGTACAAGGACTTCATCATCAAGCACAGTGGAGACAGTAATTTGCAAAACAGGTGATCATTCTCTTTTCAAGTGAAATGCTAACAATGTGCTTGGTTGTGTTGTTGAGTAAGCGCATTATTTATCTCTCTCTTACAGCGAAAAAATGATAAAAGCCCGAGCTATTGCTTCAGCTTTATCCAAAGTGTTAAATACAGTTACTACTGCAGCCGGTCCACAGGTTACCTTAGTTTCTGTTTTATTTTTTTTTGTTTTGCTTAAATAGTTTCACTTGTTTTCCTCCCAGGTTATGCTACTTCCATAGAATATGTAGGTTTTAAGTTTGCTGTACATTGCAGGTCCTTGCCGAGAGCGAGAGCATTCATGCAAAACCTGAACTGTATGTCCCTTATAATATTCTCCCTCTGGATGAAGGAGGTGCCAGTCAAGCAATCATGCAGCTGCCTGAGGTCTTAATATGTGCATTAATTAAGTTCCATTCATGGATACTTGTTCCAGTAAATTTATTTTTTCTGCATGTTATCAAGCTCCTGATTGCTGCATGCTTTGAATGAGCACAACTTACTGTGCCCTTTATGCCAAGTAATCTTATCATCTTGCATGCGTTATATGTAAATTGTATCATAACAGCTTGATTTTTGACCAAAAATTTTACATTAAATAATCAGATCAAGGCTGCAGTTGCTGCTTTTCGTAAGGTTCGCGGTTTGCCATTTGTTGAAGATTTTAGGAGAAGGGTAGTTTGCCTGGATTTGTTCGATTGGCTCCAGTTTTGCTTTGGATTTCAGGTGATCTCCTTTCTTCTTTCAATTTGCAATACAAGACAAATTATATTCTTCATTGATATCATCCTCTCTACATTGAGCTCCACAGTTTCTGATGGAAGAGAATGTTTTAATACGAACATTGTTCATCTTCTTTCAGAAAGGAAATGTTGCAAACCAAAGGGAGCATTTGATCCTGCTCCTTGCTAACACTCACATACGGAAAAGTCATAAGGAGACATCAGTCTCCAAGGTGCTATAACAATTATAGCATGAACTCTCTCTACTATAACTGATTGTTTACTTAGTTTGGGTTTTTACTCATTTCATGATACTAGTTAGGTGATGGAGCTTTGGACGAACTGATGAAGAAGTTTTTCAAAAATTATACAGATTGGTGCAAATTTCTGGGGAGAAAAAGCAATATACAGTAAGATTCGTACTCTCATAGTGCTTACTTACATTCTTGTCCCAGGATAGGATTTCTGTCACCTATGCCCTTGAAGTTTCTCTAGTGCATTTAGTGGTGTAAATGGCTTCAGTGAATTTCCCTAGGGCAATAGTTTGTATCTCTTCTTCAGCTTGCAATGTAATTGTTTGACATTCTCATTCAAATTATCGTAGATAATTATCAGTAAAGTCCAGGGATTTTTTTTCTGATATTCTGCTTTAAATGCAGGTTGCCATATCTGAAGGAGGAAGCCCAACAATATAAACTTCTTTATATTGGACTTTATCTTCTAATATGGGGAGAGGCTGCAAACATAAGATTTATGCCAGAATGCCTCTGCTATATATTTCACCATGTATGTTGTGCCATTTCTTTTGGCTGCTTTACCTGTTCGTTCATTGTCTTTCAATATTTCGTCCTCATACAAAATGTGCAAAGCATCTTAGCCATCGTTTTAGCAAGATTGTTCAGTATTTCATCCTCATGTTTCTTGCTTGATTCAGTCTACATTATTCTGACCATAAGACAAATCATGATTTAGTAAGATTTTTCTTACATCATAAACCACAAAACCTAAGTAAAGGTAATACTATCATGTCCATAATTGGAGAGAAAAGAAAACTCTTTTCTATAAGTCAGCACTACTTATGGTTTCTCTTTGTGATTAACAATATGGCAACTCTTGTTTTACTTTCTGTGGAAGAACCATTTTATGGTAAAATGGCAACTTTGATATTGAGCTTTCCTATCCAAGCTTCAGACTGGATTTTTCTTTAAGTTGTTTTTCTTTGTTGTGTCTCCAATCTTAGCCTCACTTGACTTCTCGGCTCACTTCCTCTGTTTGTTTTCTTCTCTGGCTTCTTACTGATAAGCAATATTCTTTACTTGGCTCCCTTTGTTTCTAGGAAACTTTATCTTTTACCTTAGTTTGTTTTTCTCAGATATGCATAAACATACATGTAAATGTTCAGTTCTGAAACTGCATATATGATTGAGTTATGGTTTGGAAGTAACAATCTTGATCTTATAATTTGTGCAATGAATAGTTATACACCCGTTGGATTGCACAATTATCCATTTAGATTCCTGAAACCTATGTTAAAGGTGTTCTCAATTATATTCAACTGATTTTTGCTGATTAGAGCTCTGCATGGATTTCAATTTTTTTTTCCCTGACAGATATTTTTGAACTTTTTTTGGTTGACCAGTAAAACTTTCTCTAATTTGAAAGAATTTTTTTTTTTCACGTGTTCTTTCAGATGGCATATGAGCTACATAGCTTGCTAGTTGGTGCTGTAAACATGGAAACTGGAGAACGGATTATGCCAGTGTATGGAGGAGGATCTGAGTCTTTTCTTAACAATGTAGTCTTTCATCTATATAAAGTCATACATGAGGTACAAAATGTTAGAGCACTTAAGGAGACATTTGCTGAACCCCTAAGTACTTCAATATTGTAACACTAATTTCATTCAAATCAATGAAGGAAGCTATGAAAAACAGAAATGGAACAACTGACCATTCATCATGGAGGAACTATGATGACTTGAATGAGTTTTTCTGGTCAGACTCTAATTCCTTGCTTAATTGAAATCTTTTACATCTGTTGAACCATTGGTTGTTGAAATTACCCCTGAGTTGCTTGTTCCTTAAAATGCACAGGTCTGAGGATTGTTTTCAAATAGGTTGGCCTATGCGTCTGGAACATGATTTTTTCTGTATAGACCCTTCCAGTGATAGCAAAACAAAAAAGCCTCGGCAATCAGTCAGGACTGATGAAGACAAGAAGAGTCCTAATGAAGATGAAGAAATGGAGGTAAACTTTGCCTTTCACTTTAAATGTCTAACATCAAACCATAATTATCAATTATGGAAAATGGTGCATGTATAAAAGTTTAGTATTGCATGACAAAATTTCTATGAAAATAGGCATTAGTTCCCGTGCAGACCACCTCCACTGATATTGCTCAGACTTCTGCCTAGACACCAGCTTCATATAGGCCATTAACATTTGATATCAAGTCATCCATGTTTTTTGTTATCAAGATCCAAGTCATCAATTGCTTCCTAGGATCATTAAACATGCTTATGGTGGTTTTCAGGACATCCCCGATGAAGGACACAAAGTGCGGGAAGGAAAATGGCTAGGAAAGACAAATTTTGTGGAGATTCGCTCATTTTGGCAAATCTTCAGAAGTTTTGATAGAATGTGGAGTTTCTTAATTTTATGCCTTCAGGTGTGCGTTGAGGAGAGAGATGAGTAGTAATTATCTGTGTTTTGCCTATCAGGATCATTGAGTCATTTTTCCTTTGGTATAGGCAATGATAATCATGGCATCGCATGATTTAGAATCTCCACTTGAAGTGTTTGACGCAACAGTTCTTGAGGACGTAATGAGCATCTTCATCACATCAGCAGCTCTCAAACTTATACGAGGTTCATTACTTTTGGAAGATATGGTGAAATTTTGTTAGTTAATGTCGCAAGACTCAAAATGCATTTACAACGGACAGAAACTCAGAAAGCTATAGAAAAATCAGGGCAGGAAAAAATTCTTACCACTAAAGTACCACAGCTTCTTGCTTGACACATGAACAACATGATATTTCGCGATTGTTGTGTGTCCTTTTTTTCTTTTCTGTTTCATCAGCATGTATCTTATGTTCATTGTTTCAATTGAACCTGATGAAGATATTCAGAGTGAATTCTCAAAATTCCAGGATACAAATTTTGAGTTGTCATAAACTGAAATAATTTGTCTTGCAGCTATTCTTGACATTGTCTTCACATGGAAAGCAAGGAACACAATCGATTCCTATAAAATCAGAAGAAATGTGCTGAAGGTGTTGGTCCCAATGATATGGACTATCACACTACCTATATATTATATCAATCATAGAGGGAAATATACTTGTTATTCTACACAGAGCCAGAGCTGGCTTGGAGAGTGGTGCTATTCCTCCTATATGGTCGCAGTTGCATTCTATTTGATGACTAATGCATTTGATATGGTCCTATTCCTTGTGCCTGTGGTTGGGAAGTATATTGAGACCTCAAACTCTCGAATATGCACAATGTTGTCATGGTGGAGACAGGTATGACTTCATATATCAGTTGTAATATGTGGAAATGATGGAAAAGAAAAAATCAGTTTCTCATGTACCATGCCATTCACTAGAATAACAACCTTAGTGGGACAGAGGGGAGCATAAGATTTTGTATTGTAACAGGAGACAGCCAGGAAATCAGTACTTGACTGGGCGCAAGATGGGCATAAATCATCTGATATTTCTTGAGTTGTAGGGTTATTAAGATTGACATTGTTATTGGGAGTTCCCATGAAGTTAAGCCTTTATCCATTCAGTTTCATTGAAATAAATTCCTATATCCCATGTTTGCTTGATCATCCTGTACAACTTGTCTTCATCCTTTGGAATGTTTGTTTGTTAGGCTGATTTTTTATCCTCTGAATTTTTGCATCACTCAGCCTAGGTTGTACGTTGGACGTGGAATGCAAGAGACCCAACTTTCCCAGTTCAAGTATCTATTTTCCCTTACTCAGAACTTTTCCATTATCTATTGACGTTCCCTATGATGGATTTCTGAGGTGTGCATCCCTTGTGTTGCATTTAGGTATACTATGTTTTGGGTGCTTCTAATGCTAAGCAAGTTCATATTCAGTTACCAATTTGAGGTCAGTCTTTTACTTTCTGCATTTTCTCAATACTTGTTTCATTATAATTCAAGAGTTCTTTCTTCAGCCATCTCATTTTTCAAGTGGAACAATCAGGATGTAGTAACACTAAGTTTAATTATTGCAATATGTTAATGATTGCAAGGGATTATGTTGTCTTAATGTCTTTCCATGTCTTTTGGAAATTTTTGGCCACTTAGTGTTACCACCTACTTTCATTTTTTTGCACTCATAAAGTTGGTATGATTCTTTTTAAAGTCTTCCAGCTAGAATTCTTGTAAGCATTTGAATGTTTTTCCTCCATTTTCGCAATTGAAATTTTCTTGTGCTGAAACAATTAAAAATTTCTGTAAGTGAATGATTACAAATTGTTAATTGGTGAAAGAGTCAGTTTAACGAAAAGAGTCAAACTATAAATCCTTGCAAGTGCAATGGTGGGAGTATTAATTTCTTCCCGACTGTCCAGATTAAACCTCTTATATCACCCACTAGACAGATCATGAGGATTGGCATAAAGAACTATGATTGGCATGAGCTCTTTCCCAAAGGTAATTGTCTATTGATATATCCCTTCAATATTAGGTGGTTATATAAGGAACTGGAAAAATCTGACATTGTGTTTATTGATTCAGTCAAGAGTAATGCTGGTGCAATTGCTGCTATTTGGGCTCCTATTATACTTGTAAGATTAAATTCTATTGTACATGATCCCTTACACTTAAAGCATTGAGTATCCTCTGTATGACAACATGTCTAGCATAGGAAAAATGTTTTAATGCTTCCCTATTTAGTATTTATGAATCTCTTAGTCCCTGATGTGGGTTAATAAATGATTTTCCGCAATAAGTATTGTTTGCTAATGTAGAATTTTGTTTGTCATTATATGAATAATTAGTTATCTAATGTTTTCAGGTCTATTTCATGGATGCACAAATATGGTACTCTGTCTATTGTTCCATATTTGGTGGAGTTTATGGAATTCTTCACCATCTTGGTGAGGTAGGATATGTCTCTTGCTCGCTGAGAGTTAGTATGAAGATGTTCTCACTCATCATGTTCTGCAGATTAGGACACTGGGAATGCTGAGAATTAGATTTCACTCTTTGCCAGATGCATTCAGTGCATATCTTATACCACACAAGGAGAAAGATAACAAGGAAGGAATCAGTAAGTGGTTCCTCTGCCTGAGAGAAAAGGTATGGACTAATCTATTTCATGATATAGTTATTATTAATTCTAAGACTTCCTTGCTTCCATTCTAGATAATTTATGAACTTTCAGGCTTTCGAAAAGAACAGTATTGTGAAATTCGTTGTCGTATGGAACCAAATTATTAGTAGCTTTCGTGAAGAGGACCTCATAAGTAACAGGTGTGTAAGCATATCAGATTCTTCTTTGACCATGAAGGTATAGTAGAAAACTAATGCTGGTATATTCAAAACTCAGGGAAATGCATTTGATGAAAATGCCTTTGTCATCAGAACTGTTCTCAGGCCAGATTCGTTGGCCTGTTTTCCTTCTGGCAAATAAGGTATTGTTTCCTGCATTTCTTGATGATCCCGAGTGCTGTTTTCAAAAATCTCTCAGTTGTGGTCTTTCTATGCAGTTCTCAACTGCATTGAGTATTGCAAGAGATTTTTCAGGAAAGGATGCTGATCTTTTGAGAAAGATTAAAAGAGATGACTACATGTACTTGGTAGTAACTGAATGTTACGACTCGCTGAAGTACGTTCTTGAAATCCTTGTAGTTGGGGATTTTGAACAAAGGTAGAGTAAGTAGAATGAATTGATGCCATAAACAAATCTAATGATCCATCGCAGTATCTATTTTTCATTATATGCCCTATAGTTTCCCTGCATGTTTTAATAACAAAATTTGAATACTCATTTATCTTGTACGGTTGGTCATTCAGGATTATATCTGGAATATTGGATGAAATCGAGGGAAGTATAGGGTGCTCAACACTTCTTGAGGACTTGAACATGAGTGAATTACCAGCTCTACATACTAAATGTGTTGAATTACTCGAACTACTGGTAAAATGTTGCACACAAATCTCGAATGGTTTCTCTTCATTTTTCAGCATGACACCTATCCAACTCCTTCTAGTTGATACCTTTTCTTCATTAAGGTTGAAGGAAATGAAGAACAGTACTGTAATGTTGTGAAAGCACTGCAAGATATATTTGAAATTGTTACCAGTGATCTGATGCTGAAGGGATGTAGGTAAGCTGGAAGAAGGATTTCTTTGGTTACCTAACATGCATTGAAATCAATTATGTTGATATCAGCCTAAATGTTCCAGAACATTGGATTCTCTTTATGCTCATCGTGATGGAGATGATTCTGAACTTTTCACGCACATAGAACCACAATTATTTGCTTCGGCTCGTTCTATCCATTTTCCACTGCCAGATAGTGGCCTTATAGTGGACAAGGTGCATATCTTAACTTTCGATGATACATGTTTCATGAACAGCAAATACATGGTTCCTTTACATTATTAAACTTATAAATATTGCAGAGCTGATTTTTTTTTGTTTTTGGGGTCAGATCAAGCGTTTTCTTTTGCTGCTTACCACAAGAGATAAAGCCATGGACATACCATCAAACTTGGAAGCTCAAAGACGGATTTCATTTTTTGCAACTTCTTTGTTTATGGATATGCCGAGAGCACCAAAAGTGCGCAACATGTTATCTTTCAGGTCAAACATAAGGGTGGTTTTCTGGAAGTATTATTGCCAGGCACTCTTCTGATTTAATAGTAGAGTTTCTAATTACTAAACCACTTGACAACAAAAGAGACAGCATTATAGTTATTGAATTCCATGACATACTATTATTGCTAATTATTATCTGAAGATATTGTGATACCTATAGTTTGTCCTGACCTGGAGGCTTTTGTTTAAACAGTGTTCTGACTCCTCACTACATGGAGGATGTGAAATATTCATCAGAAGAGCTTCATTCTAACAAAGAAGGCGTTTCAATCCTCTTTTATATGCAGAAGATATTCCCAGGTTACTGCATGCAGGACCTCTTAAGGCTGTGATTTATATATTCTTCTTTTCCTTTTCAGCAGTATTGGAAAGTTAATATTTTAAAGCATGTCCAGATTACTCAACTCTCCTTTTATCATTGTCTCTCAGATGAGTGGGAAAACTTTTTGGAACGTGTTGGAACTGAAAACCTTAATGCATCAAATGATGAAATAAATGAGGAGGATCTTAGAAATTGGGCTTCTTTTCGAGGGCAAACTCTATGCCGAACAGGTTTGTGGTGCCATTTTATTCTTAGGAAACTGGTGTCTGTTTTCTGAATAATAAAAATTAAAAACTATTACAGTTTACTTCTAAGTTTTCTCATATACACGTTGCAGTTCGGGGGATGATGTACTATCAGAAAGCCCTAAAGTTGCAGGCATTTCTTGACATGGCTGCAGATGATGGTATCTGTCATTACTGGCCTGCTTCCTACTACTATTCTTTAATGATTGCATGAAACGTTAC